ACCATCTAAGATGCACAAGAAACATGTGCACACTCAAGGAACCGTTTGAAACCATACCAAGCCACCAAAAACCATGCCTAATCCATGCAGAAAAAAGGGCATATTCCCATGTACATACATACAATTCTATATCAATCCATCCAGGTCCAAAAAAACTGAGTATAATTCAGTATAATCCCATAATCTTTTGAATCCTGACAGTTTTACTATTTTTGTAATTTCCCCTAATTCATCCTAATTGCACCCACCATGATCTCCCCATGACAGCCAAGCGGCTGCAACGCACGGGTCTCAACGGCCTGAGGTGCTGCCACAAAGGCATCAGGACCGAAGCTGAAGACCTGGGCAAAATCTGCGGAAAATCCGCATTTTTTGATGGACAATTCCAAGTGATGGCAAAACTCCACTTTGTTTGATGGGAAAATCGCACTTTTTGATAGGCACATAATATATTATGCTTGTTTGATTCCCTTTCCAAACATGTCAGGGCAGATTCAGGTTTCGTATGGCTCCAGCGAAGACCAAATATTCTTGAACATCACTAGTGCGGTCAGTACTCAGCCATCCAACCTTTGGATACTCTATAATTTGGGGTCAATGATTTGAGCTATAGCCATCCCCAAACAAATAAAGAAATGTTTGCAGGAGGTGGTAGCTGATATCTCAATATGTTCAAATATATTAATACATTTTTCCAGGTCTCCCACTTTTCTATATATATATTTGGTTTTGGGGTTGCTATACAAGTAAATGCAAGCACAATAATATCACTTTGACCTAGACAACCATTCGGGGGGATCCTCTTTATGCTCTTTTCAGGTTGTGCTGGAGAATCCCCGTTCGAGCCCAGTTACCACCAGAAACGTCACTATTTTACAGCAAAAATCTCGTGTTTCCTCGGAAAATCATATGCGCACGGAAAAACACAGGGGAAAAGTGGCAGTGCCAACCAGGATGAATTCCCTGAACATCATTGAACATCCCTGTAGAAACCCTAGCTTAATTAATATTGGATCTATTCTTTTTTGATCTTTTTTGGAGGTGCAACCGGGGGAGAATTTCATCTGATCCGGGGATGCCCAAGTGTGCAGCCAAAGGTACGGCCAGGGCAACTGAAGCCAGCACCAGCAAAGGAGCCACGATAGAACTGGAACGAGCCATGCCGCTTCGCAAAAAGCGACGCTTGAGATCCGTGATGGAGGCTGATGTAAAAAATGGCTGCGCTTGAGGCATCAGGAGCCGCAGAATGGGTTTGGTATCTGAACATTACAGGATTTTGATGAATTTTTCCCGAATTCACCGGCTTTTTCTCAGAATTTTCCCACCAAAAAATGGCCATAACAGGTGGGGCCCATCTTCAGACACACCCAAATAGGGTGGGATGCAACCGTGTGTAAGTGTAGAATTGGATTCAACCACCAACTATATACTCAGTTTGAACCCTTGGCCGCACACGCATCCATGCCGCATGGCCAAGTCTTTTTCCATCGCGTCTGCGGATTCTCAGCCCACAGTATATCTTGATGGCCGAGGAAGGAAAAAAGCCATCAATCCTGTCAACTGTGTCGCATGATGGTGTCTGCAAGAATAGGTACTTCAGCATGTCAACCGCAGGTTTCCCTCCTAAAAGAAAAGCCAGCTGAATGGATTCAACAGAAAACGTTCCAGACTGGAAAGATCCAATTCATTCTTTCAGTGGTGTTTTTTTGGGTTTCAACTCATTCATGCATATATATATTATATCTTTTCATCCAATCTGCACCCTTCGGCACCAGCAAAAACCCGTTCAGCCGCTCAGCGCTTAAAGCTCAGATCTCAGAGAGGATTGCCTTTCTCGCTCTCGCCGATGCGGACCACCTCCAACAGTCATTCTCCAGTGCGGGAGCGGGTATCCAAGGAAGGCAATCAAATTGGGAAGCAGCCTTTCGCAATGAGTTCTTGGTAAAAATTGGATTACATCATGTCACGTCCATACTAGTTTGCTCCCACACTGCCCCATACTACATTCCTGGCATCCTATGTTGAGAGATACTTTGAGTACTGTATGTAATTCACCCTGAGCCAGGGCATGTTTCCAGGCAAGTGAATAATTGAAGGTCATCACTGCAGCCCTTGGAAGTGTTTCCCCTTTCCCTGAAACAATACACTAGCAATACACTGTTCAATACACCAACCCGAGATCTGACTGTTGCTTTAACTGGGATCCGCGTTGAGGTCTATGATGTCTATCGAATGTCTATATATAGACCTGGCCCAAAAAATGGCTCAAGCATGGTCAAAACAAAAAACATCGAAAGAATTGAGCATCCGACCATGGTCTTCCCGGTTGCTGTTTTCACCCCATAACAAGAATTTGAGAGTCATCTGCGAATCATCTCCGGATGAAACAAATGGGAGAGCATTAGTGACAACACCAGTTCATTGATTAGTCTATATATATATAAATATGCCCATTAGATGACATGCTTGAATCCACACGTTCGATCATGTTTGACGATTGCAACCCCCCTGGGTATTATACAAAACCCAGTTCTCATTGTTGGATTCCACATGTTTGATGTCAACATCCACATCTTTGATCAACAAAAACGTAAAAACATATCGCACAACCGCCTTTTTCTTGCCTAAGCATGGCAAAACCATCCGTTTTTTTTCATTTCTTCATGTTTTCTTCTTCATTCCGAACCCTCAGGCATCCAGCCTGGCGGAAGGCCACACGCCACACGTTGAACAAGGCCCAGCTGACGGCGAACAGAGGCAGAGCCAGGACCTTGCTACAGGGAACCACCAATGGAGAGATCGTGACATGGCTATGGCACTCTGAATCTTTCGGTTGGTTCACTAGGATCATCATCCCAGCCCTGATGGAGATCAATCAGTTGTGGTTACGCATTAAACATAAATAATATATTAATATCTGATAATATATTGAAATTTGAGATCAGGATATATAGCTCACATGGAAACATATAAACAATAAAGTATGAAACCACCAATCAGCCGTGGTTCAAACCAATGTTTACCCGTATTTGTAGGACCTCAACCCCCCATGTTTTAGGGGGTTCCACCGGGTCCCCAAGTTTGATACTTAATCCTCCACTGACTCTTCAGTTATGATTCCAATATCATCGTTTTGGGTTCGTCAATGAACCCAATGTGTTGCTGCGAAAACTCCTCAAGAACATATCCGTTTCCGCATTAATCGTCCTGAGATGGACTGTCAATGCTCATTTTTGGATGGCAAAACTTGTAATGCCGATTTGGATATGTATATATAATTCTCATCAAATCCAGCATGTTTCCTCCTTAAGAACCTCCCAATCCCCATCCATTGGCTCATTAAATCACATATCCCATATCATTGGACATCATATTTTAAATTTCCCAGGCGTATATGTTTCACTATCCAGCATTGGTTCAACCAGCATCCTGGTCAGCCCCTATGAAATGGATTAGGATAACTATATAGCGGCAGAAACTTCATCGTGTTTCATGTCTTCATATTTTCATATATTTTCAATTTTTTTCATGCTTAAGAACATCGGAAAATCTTAAATGCCGGAAATTCCCAGTATATCCCAGTATATCTCACTAAATCACCATTCCATCACCATCAAAGGCCCATTGAATCTGATTAAATCCACACCGTTAAACCCTGATTAAATCCCGATTAAATCCACTTGAATCACCATTAAATTCCAATCGAAAACCCAACAAATCACCATTAAAACCCCATTAAATCCACAATGAATCATTTTTCATAATTAAATTCCACAAAACCACGTCATAAATAGTTAAATCACCATCACATCAAAGAAAATCACCACTAAGTCCCATTCAACCCCCATTAAATCACAATAAATCACCAATAAATCTTGTTCAATCCTTATTAAATGATATTGAAATCACTATAAAATCACCGTAAATCACCATTAACTCACAATTTTTACGGCTCAAACCCTCCATCCTCGATGGTATCCACGGCACTGCCAGAATGCGCAGGTCGAAGCCCTCGTCCTCCTCTTCCACGCGCGCTGCCAGGGCTGGCAACGGCGAGGCGGCTGCAGCAAAAGTGGCGCCCATCATGGCGCTGGCGGCTTGGTGCCTTGGAACCCACAGGAAATATGGGATAATATCACGTGTGAATATTGTCTTAATGTTTTTCATATGGTTGTATAGGATAATATATTCTAGTTTGAATGTTGTTTAATAAGGACGCTCACGGGATAATCATAGGATATTAACTTGCTGATTTATTTTGAAATATGGGATTTAACCCAAAGAAATTGGATTTATTTCGGAAACTCAATATTTAATGTGGTTTAAATATGGTTTAAGAAGGTAAGCAGGATAAACATGGGATAATCATAAGATGTAGTTTTGGGATTTAACTGGTGATTTCTTGGGAAATATGGGATTGAACCCACAGAAACTAGATTTATTTTGAACATGTTTGAACCAAAAAGCAAATAGATAAGGAACCCGTATTTTTTTCGAAGCTGTTTATGTCTCTCCCTCCATCGCCATCTGCCAAGACTGTTAAAATGGTTTTTAATGTTGCATAGATCTTTAAAAATAAAAGAGTTAGAGACACTAATTTATGGAGATGGTTGAAACGTGGTTTCAACTCTTTTTTTCCTCCGAAACGTGATGCAATAATTTCTGTAAGCTTTTGATGCGACTTTGCAGGGTTTTGATATTAGTCTTTGCTTGATATATCATCTATATATGATTTTTACATTATATGACCTGTACATGAACGTGAGCTATATTGAAGGATGGTATGGTATGGCTCGGTATTTTTTCCAAGGTTTGATGGGTGGTTTGATGTGAAACTTTACATTCAAACATCCCATAGATGATTTAACATTTTAGTAATCATCCGGGTTGTGGTCAACACTTTTGATTTTCATTGACCTTCCTCGTGACTTCATGGGATGAACATTTCACTTGGAAGCGTTTTTTTGTGATGAAACCCCCGTGGCCAAGTTGGCCAACACAGCTGTTCGCAATCGATCTTTTATCACATTCATGTAGGACAATCATGGTTTCCGACCCATTTCATCTGTAAACCTAATTTCTGAACCATCTAAGATGCACAAAAAACATGTGCGCACTCAAGGAACCGTTTGAAACCATACCAAGCCACCAAAACCATGCCTAAACCATGCGGAAAAAGGGCATATTCCCATGTACATACATACAATTCCATATCAATCCATTCAGGTCCAAAAAAAATAAGTAAAACTCAGTACAATTTCATAATCTTTTAAATCCTGACAGTTTCTCTATTTTTCTAATTTCCCCTAATTCATCCTACTTCCACCCACCATGATCTCCCCATGACAGCCAAGCGGCTGCAACGCACGGGTCTCAACCGCCTGAGGTGCTGCCACAAAGGCATCAGGACAGAAGCTGAAGACCTGGGCAAAATCTGCGGAACATCTGCATTTTTTGATGGACAATCCCAAGTTTTGAAGGCGAAACTCCAATTTGTTCGATAGGAAAATCACACTTTTTGATAGGCACATAATATATGCTTGTTTGATTCCCTTTCCAAACATGTCAGGGCAGATTCCGGTTTCGTATGGCTCCATGATGGAAAACCACCCGAAGACCAAATATGCTTGAACATCACTAGTGCGGTCAGTACTCAGCCATCCAATCTTTGGATACTCTATAGTTTGGGGTCAATGATTTGAGCTATAGCCATCCCCAAACAAATAAAGAAATGTTTGCAGGAGGTGGTAGCTGATATCTCAATATGTTCAAATATATTAATACATTTTTCCAGGTCTCCCACTTTTCTGTATATATATATAGATATATATATATATTTGATTTTGGGGTTGCTATACAAGTAAATACAGGCACAATAATATCACTTTGACCTAGACAACCATTCGGGGGGATCCTCTTTATGCTCTTTTCAGGTTGTGCTGGAGAATCCCCGTTCGAGCCCAGTTACTCATTTGCGCACGGATAAACACAGGGGGAAAGTTGCAGTGCCAACCAGGATGAATTCCCTGAACATCATTGAACATTCCTGGTGGAACCCTAGCTTAATATTGGATATATTGGATCTATTTCTTTTTGGAGGTGCAATCGGGGGAGAATTTCATCTGATCCGGGGATGCCCAAGTGTGCAGCCAAAGGTACGGCCAGGGCAACTGAAGCCAGCACCAGCAAAGGAGCCACGATAGAACTGGAACGAGCCATGCCGCTTCGCAAAAAGCGACGCTTGAGATCCGTGATGGAGGCTGATGTAAAAATGGCTGCGTTTGAGGCATCAGGAGCCGCAGAATGGGTTTTGGTATCTGAATATTAAATAAGGATTTTGATGGATTTTTCCCGGATTCACCGGCTTTTTCTCACAATTTTCCCACCAAAAAATGGCCATAACAGGGGGCCCCATCTTCAGACACGCCCAGATCAGGTGGGATGCATCTCACTGTAGAAGTGGGTTCAACCACCAACTATATACTCATTTTGAACACCTGGCCGCACACGCATCCATCCCGCATGGCCAAGTCTTTTTCCATCGCGTTTTGCGGATTCTCAGCCTATATCTTGATGACCGAGGACGAAAAAAGGGCCATCAATCCTATCAGCCGTATCGTATGATGGTGTCTGCAAGAATAGGTACTCCTAAAAAAAGCCAACAGAATGGATTCAATATAATTATTCCAGATTGGAAAGGTCCAATTCATTCTTTCAGTGGTGTTTTTATTGGGTTTCAACTCATTCATGTACGTATATTATATATGCAATATAATGTTTTCATCCCATCTGCACCCTTCGGCACCAGCAAAAACCCGTTGAGCCGCTCAGCGCTTGAAGAAGCAAAGAGTGCTCAGATCTCAGAGAGGATTGCCCTTCTCGCTCTCGCCGATGCGGACCACCTCCAAAAGTCATTCTCCAGTGCAGGAGCGGGTATTACATCATGTTACGTCCATACTAGTTTGCTCCCACACTGCCCCATACTACATTCCTGGCATCCTTTTTTGAGTATGTAATTCACCCTGAGCATGTTGCCAGGCAACGGAATAATTGAAGGTCATCCCTATAGCCCTTCGAAGTGTTTCCCCTTTCCCTAAACAATGCACTAGTAATACACTGTTCAATACACCAACCCGAGATTTGACTGTTGCTTTAACTGGGATCTGCGTTGAGGTCTATGATGTCTATCGAATGTCTATATATAGACCTGGCCCAAAAAATGGCTCAAACATGGTCAAAACAAAACACATCGAAAGAATTGAACATCCGACCAGGATTTCCTGGTTGCTGTTTTCACTCCATGACATGAATTTGCGAGTCATCTGCGAATCATCTCCGGATGAAACAAATTGGAGAGCATTAGTGACAACACCAGTTCATTGATTAGTCTCTATATATATATATATATCCCCATTAGATGACATGCTTGAATCCACACGTTCGATCATGTTTGACGATTGCAATCCCCCTGGGTATTATACAAAACCCAGTTCTCATTGTTGGATTCCACATGTTTGATGTCAACATCCACGTCTTTGATCAACCAAAACGCAAAAACATATCGTGCAACCGCCTTTTTCTTGCCTAAACATGGCAAAACCATCCGTTTTTTTCATTTCTTCATGTTCTTCATTCCGAACCCTCAGGCATCCAGCCTGGCGGAAGGCCACTCGCCACACGTTGAACAAGGCCCAGCTGACGGCGAATAAAGGCAGAGCCAGGACCTTATTACAGGGAACCACCAAGGAGAGATCGTGACGCCAATGAACCCAATGTTTTGCTGGCAAAACTCCCCAAAAACATATCCGTTTCCCCATTCATCATCCTGGGATGGGGTAGTCAAGGCCAGTCAATCCTCATTTTTGGATAGCCAAATTTGCAATGTCGATTTTGGATATGATAGGTATATTTCTCATCAAATCCAGCATTTTTCCTCCTTAAGAACCCCCCAATCCCCATCCATTGGCTCATTAAATCACCTGTCCCATATCATTGGAGATCACATCTTAAATTTCCCAGGCGTATATCCAAATTTCTCCCATTGAATTGCTTGCTTTACTATCCAGAAATTGGCTAAACCAGCATCCTGGTCAGCTCCATGAAATGGATTAGGATAACTATATTATAACGGCAGAAACTCCATCATGTTTCATATTTGTTCCTATTTTCATTAGATCCCGGAAATTCCCAGTATATCCCACAAACTCACCATTCCATCACCATTCAACAACCACTAAATCCCGATTAAATCTCGATTAAATCCCATTGAATCACCATTAAATCCCATCAAATAAAAAACCATGAAATCATATTAAATCCCCATCAAATCACAATTCAAACCTCAATAAATATCAATAAATCATCCATATATTTTTCGTGGTTACCACAAAACGACGTCATAGTTGAATCACCATCACGTCCTAGAAAATCATCATTGAGTCCCATTGAACTCCGATTAAATCCCAATAAATCTCGTTCAATCATCATTTAATCACATTAAATCACCATAACATCACCATTAACGCACCATTTTTACGGCTCAAACCCTCCATCCTTGATGGTATCCACGGCACTGCGAGAATGCGCAGGTCGAAGCCCTCGTCCTCCTCTTCCACGCGCGCTGCCAGGGCTGGCAACGGCGAGGCGGCTGCAGCAAAAGTGGCGCCCATCATGGCGCTGGCGGCTTGGTGCCTTGGAACCCAAAGGAAATATGGGATAATATCACGTGTTGATATCGTTTTAATATTGTTTTAAAGGATAGTATATGGAACCCATATTGTAGTTTGAATCTTGCTTAATAAGGACAATTATGGGATAGTAATAGGATATTATATAACTGTTGTTTTATTAGAAATTTCTTGGGATTTAAAACCACAGAAATGGAAACACACCATGGAAGGGAATTCATTATGGAAACACACCATTTAATGTGGTTTGAATATGGTTTAATAAGGGTAATCATGGGATCATCATAAGATATTATGGGATTCAACTGGTGGTTAATTGTATTTCTTGGGACATGTGGGATTTAACGCACAGAATGGGATTTACTGTGAACCAGAAGGGACATAGATAAATAAGGAACCCGTATTTTTTTCGAAGGTGTTTGTGTCTCTCCATCCATCACCATCTGCCAAGACTGCAGAAGTGGTTTTTTAATGTTGTATAGACTGGATAGAAATTTAAGATAAATGATTATGTAGAGACAATAATTTGTCGAGATGGTTGAAACGTGGTTTCAGTTCTTTTTTCCCGAAAGGTGTTGCAATAATTTCTGTAAGTGTTTGATGCCCCTTTGCATGGTTTCAAATGTTTCTCTTTGCTTGATATAAGATCTATATATTTATGCATCAAATGACCTGGGATGGTATGATATGGCTTGGTATTTTTTCGAAGGTTTGATAGGTGGTTTGCTATGACTTTATATTCAAACATCCCATAGATAATTTAACATCTTAGTCATCATAAGGGGTAATGTCAACATTTGTGATTTTCATTGACCTTCCCCACCACTTCATGGGATGCACATTTGCACAACGACAGGTCTCCAAGATTGGTAACTTCTTCCAAGTGTGGAACCTCTTTTTTTGGCGTGATCAAAACCCCATGGCCATGTTGGCCAACACAGCTGTTCGCAATCGATCTTTTATCACATTCATTTGGATTCATTTGGGACAATCATGGATTACGACCCATTTCATCTGTAAGCCTAATTCCTGAACATACAAGATGCACAAAAGAGTGTGCACACTCAAAGAACCGTTTGAAACCATGCCAAGCCACCAAAAACCATGCCTAAACCATGCGGAAAAAAGGCATATTCCCATGTACATACATACAATTCCATATCAATCCATTCAGGTCCAAACAAAAATCTCAGTAGAATTCTATAATCTTCCAAATCCTGACAGTTTACAATTTTGGGGATTTCCCGAATTGATCCTAAATACCATGACAGCCAAGCGGCTGCAACGCACGGGTCTCAACGGCCTGAGGTGCTGCCACAAAGGCATCAGGACCGAAGCTGAAGACCTGGGAAAAATCTGCGGAAAATCCGCATTTTTTGATGGACAATTCCAAGTTTTGATGGCAAAACTCCACTTTGTTTGACAGGAAAATCGCACTTTTTGATAGGCAAATAATATATGCTTGTTTGATTCCCTTTCCAAACATGTCAGGGCAGATTCCGGTTTCGTATGGCTCCATGATGGAAAACCACCCGAAGACCAAATATGCTTGAACATCACTAGTGCGGTCAGTACTCAGCCATCCAATCTTTGGATACTCTATAGTTTGGGGTCAATGATTTGAGCTATAGCCATCCCCAAACAAATAAAGAAATGTTTGCAGGAGGTGGTGGCCCACTTTTGTATCTATTTAGGGGTTGCTCTACACGTATATACAAGCATATAATAATATCACTTTGACCTAGACAACCATTCGGGGGGTCCTCCTTCTGCTCTTTTCAGGTCGTGCTGAAGGATCCCCGTTCGAGCGCAGTTGCAGTGCCAGGTACGATGAATTCCCCGCACGTCTCCCTAGAAACCCTAGCTTAGTATTGGATCTATTCTCTTTTGGAGGTGCAACCGGGGGAGAATTTCATCTGATCCGGGGATGCCCAAGTGTGCAGCCAAAGGTACGGCCAGGGCAACTGAAGCCAGCACCAGCAAAGGAGCCACGATAGAACTGGAACGAGCCATGCCGCTTCGCCAAAAGCGATGCTTGAGATCCGCGATGGAGGCTGATGCAAAAAGTGGCTGCGCTTGAGGCATCAGGAGCATTCAGGAGCCGCAGAATGGGTTTGGTATCTGAACATTTAAGGATTTTGATGGGTTTGTCCCGATTTCACCGGCTTTATCATAATTTTCTCACCAAAAAATTGCCATAACAGGTGGCCCCATCTTCAGACACGCCCAGATCAGGTGGGATGCATCTCACTGTAGAAGTGGGTTCAACCACCAACTATATACTCATTTTGAACACCTGGCCGCGCACGCATCCATCCCGCATGGCCAAGTCTTTTTCCATCGCGTTTTGCGGATTCTCAGCCTATATCTTTATGGCCGAGGACGAAAAGATGGCCATCAATCCTATCAGCCGTATCTCATGCTTCGGTGTCTGCAAGAATAGGTACTTCAGCATGTCAACCGCAGGTTTCCCCCCTAAAAAATACCAACTGAATGGATTCAATAGAGAACATTATAACGTTCCAGACTGAAAAAAACCAATTCATTCTTTCAGTGATGTTTATTTTTTGGATCTCAACTCATAGGAATTATATATATACACAGTATATACAATCTTTTCATCCCATCTGCACCCTTCGGGCACCAGCAAAAAAACTTCAGCTGCTCTGCGCTTGAAGAAGCGAAGAGTGCTCAGATCTCAGAGAGGATTGCCCTTCTCGCTCTCGCCGATGCGGACCACCTCCAAAAGTCATTCTCCAGTGCAGGAGCGGGTATCCAAGGAAGGCAGATTGGGTTACATCATGTCATGTCCATACTAGTTTGCTTCCACACTGCCCCATACTACATTCCTGGCATCCTATGTTGAGAGATGTTTTGAGTATGTAATTCACCCTGAGCCATTGGACATGTTACCAGGCAAGTGACCAATTGAGGGTCATCACTGCAGCCCTTGGAAGTGCCCCTTTCCCTGAAACAATACAGTGTTTTCCTTGATGGAGAAAATGAATGACAACACCAGTTCATTGATGAGTCTATATCCCCATCAGATGACATGGTTGAATCCACACGTTTGATCATGTTTCACGATTGTGATCCCCCTCCCCGGTATTATACAAAAGCCAGTTCTCATTGTTGGATTCCATATGTGTGATGTCAAAATCCACATCTTTGATCAGCCAAAAAGTTAAGCAATTATCCTACCACCACCTTTTGCTTGCTTAAACATGGTAAAACCCTCCGTTTCTTTCCGTTTCTTCATGTTTTCTTTGTCCGAATCCTCAGGCATCCAGCCTGGCGGAAGGCCACACGCCACACGTTGAACAAGGCCCAGCTGACGGCGAACAAAGGCAAAGCCAGGACCTTGCTACAGGGAACCACCATCACACTTGTGTCACTTGTGTCATGGGAGAACTTTGTGGTCTCAAGATGTCTCAAGTATCTTCTATTTTTTTGGGGATTTTATTTGTTTGTATACATGCATGGCTATGTGCAAACCCTCTTTGACTTTCTGCACTCTAAATCTTTCGGTTGGTTCAATAGGATCATCATCCCAGCTCATGTCATGGAGAAAAAGGGAAACTTCCCCCTCCATGACTATCAATCAATCGTGGTGGTTCATTAAACATAATTGAAACATATATATATATATATATTTAGTAATTTGATGTAATTTGGATATACGTATAGCCTCTCACACGGAGACATATGAACAACAAATAATGAAACCACCAATCAGCCGTGGTTCAAACCAATGTATTTGTAGGACCTCAGCCCCAATGTTTTAGGGGGTTCCACCGGGTCCCCAAGTTTGATACTTACTCCTCCACTGACAATTCAGTTGTCATTCCAATGTCATCATTCTAGGTTCGCCAATGAACCCCATGTGTTGCTGCTAAAGCTCCCCAAGAACAGATCCATTTCCCCACTATATGATCATCCTGGGATGGGGTAGTCAATCCTCATTTTTGGATGGCCAAATTTGTAATGTCGCTTTTATTGGCTCATTACATACCATATCCCATATCGTTGGAGATCATTTTGAACTTCCCAGGCGTATATCCAAATTTCTCCCATTGAATTGCTTGCTTTACTATCCAGAAAATGGTTGAACCAGCATCCTGGTCAGCCCCCATGAAATGGATCAGGATAACCATGTAACGGCAGAAACTCCATCATGTTTCATATTTGTTCATATTTTCATGCTTAAGAACCTCGGAAAGTCTTAAATCCCGTAAATTCCCAGAATGAACCATTCCATCATCATTAAACGCCCAGTGAATACCATTAAATCTCACTAGATCCTCATTGAATCATCGTTAAATTCACCATTAAAGTCCCATCAAAAACCCAACGTATCACCATTAAATCATATCAACCCCCTTTTAAACCACCATTAAAACCGCATTGAATGAATCTGCAATAAATTATTATTTTTCTAAGTTGAATTCCGCAAAACCACTTTATTTCATAGTTAAATCACCATTACGTCCTAGAAAATCACCATTAAGCACCATTAAACCCCACAAATCCCAATAAATCACCAATATATTACCAATAAATCTCGTTCAATCATCATTTAATCATTTCATCACATTAAATCACGATAAAATCACCATTAACTCACAATTTTTACGGCTTAACCCCTCCATCCTCGATGGTATCCACGGCACTGCCAGAATGCGCAGGTCGAAGCCCTCGTCCTCCTCTTCCACGCGCGCGGCCAGGGCTGGCAACGGCGAGGCGGCTGCAGCAAGGGTGGCGCCCATCATGGCGCTGGCGGCTTGGTGCCTTGGAATCCATGGGACATGTAGGATAATCATGTGTCAATATGGTTTTAATGTGGTTTAAAATGTTTGATAGGATAATATATGGAACCCATATTGCAGTTTGAATTTTGCTTAATTAATAAGGACAATTATGGGATCATCTTAGGATATTAACTGTTGATTTATTAGGAAATTCTTGGGATTTAAAACCACAAAATTGAATTTATTATGGAACCTCACCATTTAATGTGGCTTCATATGGGTTTCATATGGTTTAAGAAGGACAAGCATGGGATAATCAAAGATATTATGGGATTTAACTGGTGATTTATTGGAAATATGGGATTTGACCCACAGACATTGGAATTATTGTGAACCAAAAAACCGATAAATGAGGAATCCATATTTTTTTCGAAGGTGTTTATGTCTCTGCCTCCATCGCCATCTATCAAGACTGTCGACTTGGTTTTTCATGTTGTATATATAGATCTTTCAAGATAAAACGATTAGAGACAATGAATTGTCGAGATGGTTGAAACGTGGTTTCAGTTCCGTGTTTGTTTGTTTGCTGGCTTTTCTTTAAAGGTAGTGCAATAATTTCTGCAGGCTTTTGACGCACATTTGCATGGTTTGAAATGTTTCTCTTGCTTGATATGCGATCTGTGTATGATCTATATATATATACACAGTATTACCTGTACATGAACTATAGCTATGTTTATATAAGGATAGTATGGCATGACTTGGTATTTCTTTCGAAGGTTTTATAGGAATGTGATGTGATTTTACATTGAAACATCTCACACATGGTTTAACATCTTAGTCATCATAAGGGGTAATGTCAACATTTGTGATTTTCATTGACCTTCCCCGCCACTTCATGGGATGCACATTTGCACAACGACAGGTCTCCAAGATTGGTAACTTCTTCCAAGTGTGGAACCTTTATTTTTGGCGTGATCAACCCCCCTGGCCACGTTGGCCAACACAATAACACAGCTGTTTGCAATCGATCTTTTGTCACATTCATGTGGATTCATTTGGGACAATCATGGATTACGACAAATTTCACCTGTAAACGTAATTCCTGAAGCATTTAAGATGCACAAAAAAATGTTCACGCTCAAAGAACCGTTTGAAACAGTACCAAGTCACCAAAAATCATGTCTGAGCATGTCGAAATCGTGCAGAAACAAGGCATATGCTCATGTACATACATACAATTCCCTATCAATCCATTCAAGTCCATAAACTTTGCAACCGGTTGACTCGGCGCCCTTGTAAGGGTGACGAATTTGAAATTCTGATTCTTGAGGCTAAGAGACAAGATGCTGGTATTTGCAGGAGTCGTCAAAAATTGTTTGCAACATGGACATTCATTTCGATTGGCAGGCGTGTGACTCAAGAGTGAAAATTTGCGTTTCGCCTGCGCGGTGACTCGATTTTGCTCTTCAAGGGTCCAAAAAAAAACATTAGAAATTTATGATTTTCAATCATCCGAATCATATCAGGGCGACATTCACTCTTCCAGTTTTTTCCTCTTCTCGACGCTAGCGGTGCCAGAGCGCTTGTGGCAACGCAGAAGCCACAGTCTGCAACAAGGCAGCGTTGTGAAGCCATGTCCAGCTGTAGGCCCAAGTGTACCTTTTTTTGTGCACTTTTTTTTGTGGAGCATCGACGGAGGTCGCCATTTTTTCAAGTGTTTCCATGTTCCATCCATTTGTTGAGTACCAGCAACAATGGTTCTATAGGATTTATCCCACAAACGACCTCGAAAATGATAAGTCTTAGTCTTAGTAAAGATATTTTGTTTGTGGTTGACTTGGGCCAACTTGAACCTTTTGTGGGGACAATCTTTGACACAACTGACAGCATGTGCAACGCTTGCATCTTCCGTAACGTAAAGGAAGTGCTCGTCAGGGACGTTAATACGCCCCCCCCACCCCCCTGATGATCATACGACAGCATGCGCAACGTGTGCATCTTCCGTAACGTAAAGGAAGTGCTCGTCAAGAACGTTAATACACCCCCCCCACCCCCCACCCCCACCCCTCCTGATGATCATCCGACAGCATGTGCAGCATGTTAAAAACTCAAAAAAATCAAATCCTATACCCCCATTTCCGCAAGCCTCATTTTTGAAATTTGCAACCCTTCCAAGGGATCGTAAATGGCACATCTCAAAATTGGCAACCCTTCCAAGGGCGCCGTATCAGCCGCATGCCATAAACAACTCAATATAATTCTATAATCTTCTAAATCCTGACAGTTTACAGTTTTGGAAAATTCCCCTAATTCATCCTAAATACCATGATGTACCCATGACAGCCAAGCGGCTGCAACGCACGGGTCTCAACCGCCTGAGGTGCTGCCACAAAGGCATCAGGACCGAAGCTGAAGACCTGGGCAAATTCTGCGGAAAATCCGCATTTTTGGATGGTCAATTCGAAGTTTTGAAGGCGAAACTCCAATTTGTTTGATAGGAAAATCTCACTTTTTGATGGGCAAATACGATTGTTTGATTCCCTTTTAAAACATGTCAGGGCAGATTCCAGTTTCGTATGGCTCAATGATGGAAAAACCAAACATTCTTGGACATCAATAGTGCTGTCAGTACTCAGCCATCCCATCTTTGTATCTTATATATATATATATGCAAATTATATATATATATATATGTATAATAAGGGGTCAATGATTTGAGCTCTAGCCATATAGCCATCCCCAAACAAATAGAGAAGTGTTTCCAGGAGGTTGTGGCTGATATTTACACACACATATATATATATATTTAAATAATACATCTTTCCAGGTTTCCCGCATTTCTATCTATTTTGAGGTTGCTATACAAGTATATACAAGTATAATAATATCACTTTGACCTAGGCAACCATTCGGGGGATCCTCTTTCTGCTCTTTTCAGGTCGTGCTGAAGGATCCCCGTTCGAGCACAGTTGCAGTGCCAGGCACGATGAATTCCCGGCACATCTCCCTAGAAACCCTAGCTTAGTATTGGATCTATTCTCTTTTGGAAGTGCAACCGGGGGAGAATTTCATCTGATCGGGGGATGCCCAAGTGTGCAGCCAAAGGTACGGCCAGGGCAACTGAAGCCAGCACCAGCAAAGGAGCCACGATAGAACTGGAACGAGCCATGCCGCTTCGCCAAAAGCGATGCTTGAGATCCGTGATGGAGGCTGATGCAAAAATGGCTGCGTTTGAAGGTCAGGAGCCGCAGAATGGGTTTGGTATCTGAACATTAAAGGATTTTGATGGGTTTGTCCCGAATCCACTGGCTTTATCACCATTTTCTCATCAAAAAATGGCCATAACAGGTGGGGCCCATCTTCAGACGCGCCCAAATAAGGTGGGGTGCATCTCATTGTAGACATGGATTCAATCACCAACTATATACCCATTTTGAACCCCTGGCCGCACACGCATCCATGCTGTATGGCCAAGCTTTTTTCCATCGCGCCTGCGGATTCTCAGCCTATATCTTGATGGCCGAGGAATGGGTACTTCAGCATGTCAACCGCAGGTTTTCCTCCTAAAAAAAGCCAACTGAATGGATTCAATATAATTATAACTTATAACGTTCTAGACTGGAAAGATCCAATTCATTTTTTCAGCGGTCTTTCTTTGTTTCAACTCAGACAATTTTTTCACCAGCGAAAAACCGTTCAGCCGCTCAGCGCTTGAAGAAGCGAAGAGTGCTCAGATCTCAGAGAGGATTGCCCTTCTCGCTCTCGCCGATGCGGACCACCTCTGGGGGTCATTCTTCAGTGCGGGAGCGAGCGGTATCCAAGGAAGGCAATCAAATCGGGAAGCAGCCTTTCTTAATGGGTTCTTGGTAAACATTGGATTATAATGGATTATATACATCATGTTACGTCCAAACTAGTTTGCTCCCACGCTGCCCGATACTACATTGCTGGCTTGCGAGATATTTTGAGTATGTAATTCACCCTGAGCCATTGGGCATGTTACCAGGCAAGCGACCAATTGAGGGTCATCACTGCAGCCCTTGGAAGTGTTTCCCCTTTCCCTGAAACAATGCACTAGTACCAGTGACACACTGTTCAATACACCAACCCGAGATCTGACAGTTGCTTTACCTGGGATCTGCGTTGGAGTCTATGATGTCTTTCGAATGTCTAGAGACATGGTCCAAAAATTGTTCAAACATGAGGTCAAAACAAAACACATCGAAAGAATTGAACATCCGACCATGGTCTTCCTGGTTGCTGTTTTTACCCCATAGCAGAAATTTGAATATCAACTGCGGATCATCTCTGGATGAAACAAATTGCAGAAAATATATGACAACACCAGTTCATTCCCATTAGATAAAATGGCTAAATCATTCCCATTAGATAAAATGGCTAAATCCAGGCCATGTTTGACGATTGTGATCCCCCTCCCCGGTATTATACAAAAGCCAGTTCTCATTGTTGGATTCCATATGTGTGATGTCAAAATCCACATCTTTAATCAGCCAAAAAGGTAAACAATTATCCTAACACAACCTTTTGCTTGCTTAAACATGGTAAAACCCTCCGTTTCTTTCCATTTCTTCATGTTTTCTTCGTCCGAATCCTCAGGCATCCAGCCTGGCGGAAGGCCACACGCCACACGTTGAACAAGGCCCAGCTGACGGCGAACAAAGGCAGAGCCAGGACCTTGCTACAGGGAACCACCATCACACTTGTGTCACTTGTGTCATGGGAGAACTTTGTGGTCTCAAGATGTCTCAAGTATCTTCTATGTTTTTGGGGTGATTTTATCATTTTATATTATTTTTATTCACGTCGCTTCGCGACGGCAACCGCCCGCACCGCATCGTTGGGCTCACACAAACATGATGATGAAAAGGCATGTCGGCCATTGAGACCAAAAACATCCGAAAGTACTGATTGTCGGAAAAAAAAACGCGAAGAATTTGATAGCCATGTATAGCAGACCAACGCAGTTCAAAAAATAACGAAAAGCATGAAAAAACGGCGAAAGTGTTGTTATTTACAGTGTTTTTGCGCGGTGAGAAGCAGAAACCACTGCAAATACCATGGTTTTTGAGGGTCAGGTGGCCAAAAACACTGTAATTTGCAGTGTTTTTTTAACCAACGTCAAAAAACACTGGTATTTACGATGTTTTCATTCACACCGTAACATAAAACAGCGTAATTTACGAGGTTTTTGGAAGTTTTGAAGCTAGCCGTCAAGCATGCAGAAAACAGAAAAACACTGTAAAAACCAGTGTTTCTGCTATCACAAAACGACGAAAATCAGTCCGAAAACGGGTCCAAAAACTCAAAAATCCGCCTCCGGGCCAGGCCACCTGCGGAACCGCAAAAAAAGATGTTGCAAACCAAAAAATTGAAGTCAAAAAGTTGAAAAACACGGTTTTTTTTCACTTTTCGCTTGCCGATTTTGGACGGGCGCGTTCACGAACAGGTGTCTTCCGTACTGTTTTTTACAGTGTTTTTTGAAGGCGAGCGTCACGACCTATCAAAAACAGGAGGTTTTGGCCGAAAAATGCCCCCCCCCCCCAGGTAAACTTGTAACCTTTTACGAGTGCCATCCGGACGATCACGCCCCAGCACCTTCGGTGCGGGCGGATTTGTATATAGGCATGGCTATGTGCAAACCCTCTTTGACTTTCTTTAAACTGCACTCTTAATCTTTCGGTTGGTTCAATAGGATCATCATCCCAGCTCATGTCATGGAGAAAAAGGGAAACTTCCCCTCCATGACTATCAATCAATCTTGGAATCTTGGTTATCCATTAAACATAACTAACATATATCTGGGAAAATTATAATAATTCACCAACCTGAATTAAGGCCATTTGGGGATGATTTCCCTTATTAACAATGATTCCAGTGAGGTCGCAGTGAGGTCGCTATAATTTACCCAGTATGTATATATATATATATACACAGTAATTTGATGTAATTTGGATATACTGTATGTATAGCCTGTATAGCTCACATGACATGGAAATGTATGAACAACAAATAATGAAACCACCCATCAGTCGCGGTTCAAACCAATGTTTACCCGTATTTGTAGGACCTCAGCCCCCATGTTTTAGGGGGTTCCACCGGGTCCCCAAGTTTGATACTTACTCCTCTATTGACGGTTCAGTTATGATTCCAATATCATCATTTTAGGTTCGTCAATGAACGCAATGTTTTGCTGCTAAAACTCCCCCAAAACATATCCGTTTCCCCATTAATCATCCTGGGGTGGGGTAATCAATCCTCATTTTTGGATGGCAAAAATTTTGCTGTCGATTTTGGATAGGTATAATTATCCAATCCGGTATTTTTCCTCCTTAAGAACCCCCCATCCATCCCCATCCATTGGCTCATTACATACCATATCCCATATCGTTGGAGATCATATTTTAAATTTCCCACGCGTATATCCAAATTTCTCCCATTGAATTGCTTGCTTTACTATCCAGAAATTGGGTAAACCAGCATCCTGGTCAGCTCCGGTGAAACGGATTGGGATAACGATATAAGGGCAGAAACTCTACTCTGTTTCAATTTTTTTACACATTTTCATCCGTAAGAACCTCGGAAACTCTTAAATCCAGGAAATTCCCAGTATAACCCACTAAATCACCATTCCATCATCATTAAACGCCCAATGAATACCATTAAATCTCATTAGATCCTCATTGAATCATTGTTAAATCCTGATCAAATCCCATTGAATCACCATTAAAGTCCCATCAAAAACCCAATGCATCACCATTAAAGTATCAAATCCCCTTTGAAACACCATTAACACTCCATTGAATCTTCCATAATTTATTATTATCATTTTTCATAAGGAAGTTAAATCCCACAAAACCACTATATTTCATAGTTAAATCACCATCACATCAAAGAAAATCACCACTAAGTCCCATTCAACCCCCATTAAATCACAATAAATCAACAATAAATCTCGTTCAATCCTTATAAATTCACAATGAAATCACCATTAACGCACCATTTTTAAGGCTTAAACCCTCCATCCTCGATGGTATCCGCGGCACTGCCAGAATGCGCAGGTCGAAGCCCTCGTCCTCCTCTTCCACGCGCGCTGCCAGGGCTGGCAGCGGCGAGGCGGCTGCAGCAAGGGTGGCGCCCATCATGGCGCTGGCGGCTTGGTGCCTTGGAATCCATGGGACATGTAGGATAATCATGTTAATATGGTTTTAATATGGTTTAAAGATTGTTTTATAGGATAATATAATATATGCTGGGCGGAAGTTGCCTTAAAGATATATAAGACCTTTCTCATCTATAGAACTTGCATGCGCCGTGCGCCAGCCAAGCCCGTGCGTGCGTGCACGCCAAGCCCGTGCTCCACTTCGCACTTCACACTTGGCAGCCTTCACACTCCACATACTAACGGAAACAGGAACGTGTTGTGTAGCACATAAATGGAAATCCTCACTTCTTTCTTGGCTGCCTTGTGGAAATCTTTTTGCATGCCTTCTTGACATCAAGCTTGCATTCATACCCCGTCATGCATCATCATTGATTGCATACCCTTCATTTAAGCCAAACACAGCTGCGAGCATCACAGCATGACTTGTTCTGTGGGTCGGCCGACGTCAACTACACATAGATGACACTAGCACAAAAATAGAACTCATGAATTAGAAGCTGACAAATCACTATCGCAGCCTGGATGCAGCTACTCCAATACGATTTACGATGTTCAGCTGCAAAAGACAATAGTATTACGCATGCAGCCACGGCACCGAGCAACCTTGACGCAGCCACTACAATGCGATCTGCAGAGACTGAGTTGCAAAACACAGTAGAACTACGCGCAACTGTGTCGAAAATTGCAGCTTCAAAACCGGATCTCGACGCCAAAGCAGAAAAAAGACGATTCTGAAGCATTTTTTAAAAGGATTTTAGAAGGAAAATTACTAGCGCCAAAGTTGAAAAAATCTGCTGACAAATCACTATCGCAGCCTGGATGCAGCCATTCCAATACGATTTACGCTGTTCAGCTGCAAAAGACAATAGTATTCCGCATGCAGCCGCGGCACCGAGCAACCTTGACGCAGCTACTACAATGCGATCTGCAGAGACTAAGTTGCAAAACACAATAGAACTACGCGCAACTGTGTCGAAAATTGCAGC